GACTGTCCCGACTGTCCCACATATTTAGTATTAAAAAAAGTACAGAATTAGAGAATTCTAATATTTATTCTTCATTAATTTTTCCTTATGATGCAATTTAATTATTCATTCTACAATTATTAGCATGTATCATTTTATATTCACAATTTCCGTCCTTGTTCTTCCTCGTCGACCTCTAATAATTAATCCGCCATTAACCTGAATGGCAAGCAAACGGAGTCAATTAGGAAGTTCGAGACGATAATTGGAAATTAATTTAATAAAATTATCGATCGTTTGAATATTAACTGTACACTTTAATAAATTAATTATTGAATTTTGCAGGAAACAGCGTCGAAGGATATCTGGATCGATTGGAACCGAATGGAAATATACCGCCGCACGGAAAGTACGGTAAGTGGACTAAATAATAACAAATATATATATATATCTTCTATATATATAAAAATAAGTCTGGTTTTCCTTCCTGACGAAATAACTCCAGAACGCACGAACCGATTTCGACAATTTTGCATTCGTTGGAAAGGTCTCGGGCTCCGCAAGGTTTATAGCTAAGAAAATTAGTGGTGCATCGTGCCCTAATTCAAATTGCTGGAACTTTACGCACCGTAATTAAAAATTCGAGTAATGAAAATAATCAATAATTGTTTTAAATAATTTCAAATAGATTATCTTCTATATATATAAAAATAAGTCGGGTTTTCCTTCCTGACGAAGTAACTCCAGAACGCACGAACCGATTTCGACAATTTTGCATTCTTTGAAAGGTTTCCGTGCCCTAATGCAAATTGCTGGAACTTCACGCACCGTAATTAAAAATTCGAGTAATGACATTAGTGAGAATTATCAGAATTATGCTTGGTTAAGTCAACGAGCAATTCTTGCCGCCAAGAAATATGCTGTGTACACGCACTGAATTCCACTCAAAAATTGCTGGCGATTTGGTGACATACCAATGATTCCGACTGGTCTTCCGTTTGACTTCAAACGATTGCAATTTCCAGTTCGCCTTGCGTTCGCAATGACAATTAACAAGTCGCAAGGCCAATCGCTTAGTGTTTGCGGGATAAATTTCAAATAGATTATTTATAAAATCATTGTTTTTCACATGGGCAGTTATACGTTGCCTGTTCACGAGTTGGAAAACCATCCGCTTTGTTTGTGTTAACGTCAGACCAAAAAACAAAAAATGTGGTTTACCAAAGAGCACTTCAATAAAACGGATAATTTGCGGATTCACTTTTATTTACTTAGAGAAGTTCAACTAAAAAACACTTCATTTTTGTAATCGAAATAAATTCATTACAGTTGTATAATAAAATCGAATTTTTCCTTTTCAAATATAAAACAAACAACAAATTTCTTCATCTTTCTCACGAAACCATCTGGTGGCGAAACGGAGTTCGTCGGGTTTGCTAGTTACAATTATAATTTCATAAACTATTTTTATTCTCTTGTCTTTTAAGATTGGCACAGTGGCGACTCGCGCTCTCACCACCAGCAACAGAACCACCATCTATCCCATCACCATCATCACCATCACCACCAGCAGGAGCAGCAGCAGCGCCCGGTCACCAGGCAATTGTCAGTTTCATCAGATTCCAAATTGCTGGACGAGGACATCAGGGAGGAGACAGAGAGGGTCGTCATGAGGCACAGGAAAGGGCAGACGGTAAAATTTATATAATTGTTTGATAATTGATAAGTTGTTATTAAGGAGAAAGATTTTTTTTAATTACAGTAGAACCCATTCGGATAATCAAATATTCGGATAATCGGAGTTTTTTTTTAAATTGCCATTGGAGAGAAAAAAAGTTACGTTTTGATATTGCACTATTTTTTTATTGAATTAAATGAAAGAAACATGATATTTTCACATGTTTTGAATATAAATAAAATGTACTTATGTACAAGTTTAGAAATAAAAATATTTGTTTTTTAAACATCTCCGTCAATGTAAGCTGTTTTGCGGTCTTCAACCAAAGAATAATAGCGCACTTAGACTTTTTTTGGACAATTTTTTTTCTGAAAGTGATTTGGATAATCGGCGATTCGGATAGTCGGAATTCGGATAATTGGAGTTCTACTGTACAATATTATTACAACTTGTAAATAATTTAACATCTAGCAATAATAATAAACAATAACATATGGAACCTTGGAAAAAGGGAATTTCCTGATGACAAACCTTGGAAAAAGGGATTCTACTGACGAGCAAACTTAGAAATAAATACTCTACTGACAAGCAAACTTAGATAAAGATATCTCCTGATGTGTAAACTTTGAACGAGAGAATTAACTGATGATAAAACTTAAAAAAAGGGATTCTACTGGCGAGCAAACTTTGAAAAAGAGAATTTCCTGATGACAAACCTTGGAAAAATGAAATTTCCTGATGACAAACCTTAGAAAAAGGGATTCTACTGACGAGCAAACTTAGAAATAAGGACTCTACTGACTAGCAAACTTAGACAAAGATATCTCCTGATGAGTAAACTTCGAAAGAGGAAATTTACTGATAACAAAATTTGGGAAAAGTGATTCTACTGGCAGGCAAACTTTGAAAAAGAGAATTTACTGATGGCAAACCTTGGTAAAAGGGAATTTCCTGATGACAAACTTTGGAAAAAGGGATTCTACTGACGAGCAAACTTAGAAATAAGGACTCTACTGACAAGCAAACTTAGATAAAGATATCTCCTGATGTGTAAACTTTGAACGAGAGAATTAACTGATGATAAAACTTGAAAAAAAATGGATTCTACTGGCGAGCAAACTTTGAAAAAGAGAATTTCCTGATGACAAACCTTGGAAAAATGAAATTTCCTGATGGCAAACCTTAGAAAAAGGGATTCTACTGACGAGCAAACTAAGAAATAAGGACTCTACTGACAAGCAAACTCAGAAAAAGATATCTCCTGGTGAGCAAACTTCGATAGAAGGAATTTACTGATGACAACAAAACTTCGAAAAAGGGATTTTATGGCGAGCAAACTTGGAAAGAGGGACTTTACTGACGAGTTAACTTAGAAAAAGATATTTCCTGATGAGCAAACTTGGAAAGAGGGAATCTACTGACTAGCAAACTTGGAAAATGGGACTCTACTGATAAGCAAACTGAGAAAAAGAAACTCTGATGACGAGACAACTTAGAAAATGAGATTAAAATGAAAAGCAAACTTAGAAAATGGTATTACCTGATGAGCGAACTTCGAAAGAGGGAATTTACTGATGACAAACCCTGGAAAAAGGGATTCTACTGGCAGGCAAACTTGGAAAAGGGTACTCTATAGACGAGCAAACTTAGTAAAAGAGATTCTAATGACAAGCAATCTTAGACAAAAAGTCTATACTGACAAGCATTCTTAGAAATATGGACTCTACTGACAAGCAAACTTGGAAAAAGAGACTTCACCGACAAGCAAACTTGGAAAAAGGGACTAAACCGACGAGCAAGATTAGAAAAAGAAACTCCAACCACGGCCAAATCTAGAAATACGGTATCTACCGGCGAGAAGTCTTAGAAAAAGATGGTTTCTGACGAGTAAGCTTAAAAACAGTGACTATAATGACGATCATACTTAGAAATAAGGACTCTACTAACAAACAAACGGAGAAATAGGAACTTTACTGATAAGCGATCTTGGAAAAAGAGACTCTACTCGCAGGAACAAACTTAAAAATAAGAACATTACCAGCGTACAAACTGATAAACTAACTCTACTGATGAGCAAATTTGGAAAAGAGGACTCTACTGATGAGCAAACTTAGAAAAACAAACTATGATGACGATACAACTTAGATAAAAAGATTCTAATGGCAAGCAATCTTAGAAAAAAAGTCTCTACTGAGGAGCTTTCTTAGAAATTGAGGCAAACTAAGTATACATGGTTGCTTTATATATTATTTTCCATTAATAAGTGAAAATACAAATGTATAGACTTGAGGTATATTGACTTTTTACCGACTCGGACAAACAAAAGACGGCTAGATTGCTTAGTTCACTTTTTGAAGTTTTTACATTTATGGCTAGATGTCAGGCCATATAATAAATGGGGACTCTAATGACGAGCAAACTTAGAAGTAAGAACTCTACTAACGAGCAGATTTGGAAAGGTGGGCTCTGCCGACGAGCAAACTTAGAAAAAGAAACTTTGCTGACGAGTAAACTTAGAGAAAAAAAATTTACTGACAAGAAATGTGGACTCTACTGGCTGACTCTCTGATTTGTTTATTGTCTTATGTAAATTATATTGATGAATGTAAAGGAAATTTACTGATGATTGAAATCACCATTTCTATACCAATAATTTTTCTAAAAACCAGTTCACTATTTATAAAACTGGTCTAACTGTCTATTGCTCTCCATAATTTGCAAATCTTTTTCAATATCACTACATCAGATTTGTTTCTTAAATTAAGTATCAATCATCTTTTAGATGGCAAAGGCGGTCCCAAAAGACAGCAGAGGCCACGATCAGAAGCAACACTGCTTTCGTGTGGTAACGAAGAAGGAAGTCATGCGAGGAGGAGGTTGGCCAGGTCGAAACGATACAGTGCATTTGGGGTAATAAAAATATTTAAAAATTGGTGATAAAATAGGAAATAGAATATTTAATAACAATGTATAATTATATTACAGGGTGATTCACCATTTGGAAAATCAGAAGCATACATCAAACTCGAACAATTAGGAGAGGGCTCGTATGCCACAGTGTTCAAAGGATATAGCAAGTATGGATAAAAAACATGTTTATCACCATTGTTTGATTAATTTATATTATTTATATTATTGTTTTTAGTTTAACGAATCAAGTGGTCGCTCTGAAGGAGATTAGACTTCAGCAGGAAGAAGGTGCCCCCTTTACAGCCATCAGAGAAGCCTCGTTATTGAAAGAATTGAAACATTCAAATATTGTCACTTTGCATGATATTGTACACACGAGGGAAACATTGACATTTGTATTCGAATATGTCGTGAGTAGAAATATTCAGAATATAATACAGAATATTCATTCACAATGAATATATATTTTTAACTTCCCGAAGGAGAAGTTTATGTTTCATCAAAAAATCCGAATCGCTAATTTTATGTTTTCTCGACGTTTCAAGCCATTCTAAATCGAATGAGACCAATGGCCTTTGTATGTGTGTGTGTGTGTGTGTGTGTGTGTGCGTGAACAGATTTTTTGCCGTAAATCGACGTTTTCTCGAAAACGGCTGGGCCGATTTCAAAAATTTAAAAGCCATTCGATGTATCTCGACGAGGACTATCGTTTGTCAGTTTTGTGGAACGATCGGCCGAGACGTTTCTTTATAAATAGCATAAAAGTGAAAAATTTTTCGTGCACGTTTTAGCCCGCAATTCTGAACCGATTATGAAAATTCAAAAAACCGTTCCAAAGGTATTATTGGGAATCGTGCTGATTAGTTTTTGGTAAAGATCGGCCGGGCCGTTTTCTTGTAATAAAGTATTAAAATTTTTTTTTTCGACGACTTTTATTATTATTTTTTTGACGGTAGATACTATAGTCTTCCAAATCATACTAAAATATTACGACCCTACGACAATTGGTTTAACTTTGAAAATTCGTCAAAATTTTCAAAGATTGGTATCGTTTTTTTGGCATTTGTCAAAATTAGACCTTTCATCGACGTTTTCTCGAAAACGCCTGAACCGATTTCAGAAATTTAAAAGCCATTTGATGTATTTAGATGAGGACTATCGTTTGTCAGTTTTGTGCGACGATCTGCCAAGCCGTTTCTTTGTAATTTGAAAAAAAGTGTTAAACTTTTCGTCCACATTTAAGCTCATCCTACCGAACCGATTTTAAAAAATCAAAAACTGTTCGAAAGATATTAGTTGGGAAAGGTACTGATTATTTTAGGTGAAAATCTACCGAGCCGTTTTCTTGTAATTAACTGTTGAAAAAAAATTAAGCCGATTTTCATGGAACTTTTTTTGGCGATATACATCATGGTCTTATAGAACTTACTGAAATATTACGGCCTTGCGACAAGTAGTATAATTTTAAAAATTCGTCAAACTTTGCTAAAATTATTATCGTTTTTTTAGAGTAGGATTGATGAAGTATATTATTTACACATTTTTTTTTTTGATTAAGTCGATTATTTACACATATCGGGAAGTTCATGTAACTTGCCTCAAGGCTAAATACCAAACCAACTAGTTCTATTTTTTTTTAGAATACAGATCTCTCCCAATACATGGAAAGGCATCCAGGAGGTTTGGAACCGAGGAACGTCCGCCTCTTCCTGTTTCAATTACTAAGGGGCCTGTCGTACTGCCACAGGAGGAGGGTGCTCCACAGGGACGTCAAACCCCAGAATCTTTTAATAAGCGAGAGGGGCGAATTGAAGTTGGCCGATTTCGGACTGGCCAGGGCCAAGAGCGTTCCTTCGCACACGTACTCCCATGAGGTCGTCACGTTGTGGTACAGGCCACCGGGTAAGAGGAAAAATAATATTTAAAATAAATAATTAAAATAGTTTGTTTGATTTTTTATCATGGTTCTAATTTTCTTGGATTTTTATTTTAGATGTACTATTGGGCAGTACAGAGTACGGGTGCTCCTTAGACATGTGGGGCGTAGGTTGCATTTATGTTGAAATGGTGACGGGACTGCCTACTTTTCCAGGTGTTCGTGACACTCAAGATCAACTCCTTAAGATATTTAAAGTAAGTGTAAAATAGTAATTAAAACTTCTACGTATGTATTTTTATGTATATTGTTTAAGTGTGATTTTTATTTTTATGAATTGAAAGCCTTCAATTTAATCCAAAAAGTAATTTATTTATTTTCTTGAAGGAATAGGAAGATTTACTTGTCAGTAGAGTCCATATATCCAAGTTTGCACGTCAGTAGAGTCTCGCTTTCAAAGTTTGCTCGAGAGGAGACTCCTTGTTTACAATTTTGATTTTTTTTCTAAATCTGCTCGTCAATAGAGTCCTCACATCTAAGTTTGCTCGTCATTAGAGTTTCTTTTCCAAAGTTTGTTCGTCAGTAGAGTCCCCTTTTCTAAGTTTGCTCGTCAGTAGAGTCTATCTTTTCAAATTTGCTCATCAGTTGAGTTAATATATCCATTTGTTAGTATACTTTTTATTTTTAAGTATGGGTAGAGTCTCCTTTGCCAAGTTTGCTCATCAGTAAAGTTTCTATTTCTTAGTTTGTTCGTTAGTAGAGTCCTTACATCTGAGTTTGCTCATCATTAGAGTCCCCATTTAGAGTAGAGACTTTTTTTTTCTAACATTGCTTGCCATTAGAATCTCTTTATCTAAGTTGTATCGTCATCAGAGTCTCTTTTTCTAAGTTTGCTTGTCAGTAGAGTCCCTCTTTTGTAGTTTGTTCGTCAGTAGAGCCCTTTTTCCAAATTTGCTCATCAGTAGAGTTAGTTTATTAGTTTGCTCGTTCGTATGGTTCTTATTTTTAAGTTTGCTCGTGTGAGTAGAGTTCTTTTTTCGAAATTGGCTCAAGTTCCTATTTCTTAGTTGGTTCTCTTTTTTTTTCTCAATTTTTATTTGGCCTCACTTATTCTGAGCATTTACTCATTTAGCCACCTACAGCATTTTTATTTATTTACATTCATATTCACTCTATATATATCCTATTCTAAAATCTTCTTAATTTTTTCTTCTTCAATTTCTTTTAATTATTTTCTTCAATTTTTGCTCTTTCATTTCAAATTTCTAATTCTATTCAACTTCTATCTTCATTCCATTTGTTTCTTCATTTTTCCTTTTTTTTTAATTTCCGCGAGTTCTATTATTTTTTCTTCTTACTTCTAAATACAATTCAGCTACTCGAATTCTGTAATTCCTATTTTTCTTAATTTTCATTCAAATTCTACTTAATAAATACAATTTTATTTAATTTCAAATTAACTACATATTTTTTTCATAAATTCTAAGTCAATGATAAATCAATGACAGGATTCGATCCAAAGATCCCTGTCGTGTGAGTCGAACACACTGCTATATGGGCTATGTTCGTTAGTAGAGTCCTTATTTCTAAGTTTGCGTGATTATAGTCACTGTTTTTTTAAGATTGCTCGACAGTAAAAATATTTTTCTATGTTTTCTCGTCGGTAGATACCATATTTCTAGATTTGGTCGTAGTTGGAGTTCCTTTTTATAACCTTGCTCGTCGGTATAGTCCCTTTTCCAAGTTTGCTTGTCAGTAGAGTCCATATTTCTGAGAATGCTCTTCAGTAGAGACTTTTTTCTGAGATTGCTTGCCATCAGAATCTTTTTATTTTGCTCGTTTTTTTTACGTTTGCTCGTCAGTACAGTCCCTTTTTCCAAGTTTGCTCATCAGATCAACTTCTTACGATATTTAAAGTACATATAAATGAATAAAAATAAAAACTTGTTTGTATGTATTAACATAAATTGTTTAAGTATTTCTAGATAGCTATTATTTGACTTCATTTATATATTTAATTAACTTTCATCTTAATTTTTTAATTATGATTTTTAAATTTATGAATTAAAAGCCTCCTTTTTCATTCAAAAAGTAATCTATTTAATTTCTTGAAGAAAGAAGGAAGTTTTTAACTCAGTATCTTAAATATGATATTTATATATTATTAAACTAAAAATATTTTTCTTTATTTAGATTTTAGGTACTCCAACAGAACAGACGTGGCCTGGCGTATCACGATTGCCTTCGTACAAGCCTCGAAAATTTTATTATTATAAGTAAGTATTAAATATAATATAGTCGCACTCCGACATACGAATTTTTTGTTGGAACAAATTGTTGCTTCGACATACCAACATAATTTGAGATACAAGCTTTGAGCTTATATTTATTTTTAATATTCACAAAACCTTACGAAAACCATAGTTCTGCAACTAATGGTATTATAATGTATTTATATTAAAAAAAAAAAAACGCTTTGAGATACGAGCGAAGCTACGGAACGAATTGAACTCGTATGTCAGGGTAGCATTGTATTTTAACTCAGCTCGAGAATCTATATTATAATTTGTATTTAAACAATTTTTCTAATTTCCTAATTTTATTATTCTTTCAGGTCTCGTAGGTTAGGTTTAAGTTTTCCTCGACTGCACGATTCTCCTGATGGTGAATCAGTGGCCGAGAGTTTGTTGCAATTGAATCCGGATGACAGGATAGGGGCTGACGAGTGCCTGAAGCACAGATATTTCAGCTCGTTGCCTCCCAAACTACACGAACTGCCTGACGGTAAGAAATATAATAAATAAATAAATTTTATTGAGGCATCTTATAATAATGTATATTTTTCAGAGGCTTCAATATTCAGTGTAGAAGGCGTATTCCTTTACCCCGAACACAGACAAGCCGGGATCAAGTGAGACAACAACTTGAAAATAAGTTTAGTATAAACTTATGAGATTTCATAACGAAACTATGATTAACAGACAAGATGCCAAAAAATATATATTCATTTACATATACAGCGGAAGACTTTTGGTGGCTTTCCTCTTTAAAGCCAGAAGTGATATTTCTCTAAAAGTGTGTCCATTATCGACCAAAGTATATGTACATCCATATATATAAGTATACGAATGTATTGTGAACGAGTGATGTGATAAGCGTAAATTTATTTGTTTGTTGTTATTTTATAAAAAAGAAGAGAACAAATGCTGCAAAGATAACGAACGAGATGACTAATTGAGTTTCTGAGTCGGGCCTAGAGAACATTTATTAAAATAAAATACATTATGAATAGAATTTAGAGTAAATGTAGAAATTTATAGAGAATTACATATGCATATATGTATTTGCAGTAGAATTTATGTCGGGCAGTACGATAGTGAAAAAAGTAAAGGACTTTTTTATTGAAGTATTTTATATTATGCTTTTTACCTTTTTGTGCAATATTATGCCTTGGGATATATATATATATATATATATATATATAATAAAATATTTTCAAGCATGTATCCAGTAATACAATTTTTTAGTGAAGAAAAGTTTTGACTTTATTAAAACTGCAAATGTTTTGAGACTGAATTTGGGGCTCATATTTCATATATTAATCAAAATGATAATAACATTTTAGCAAGTGTTAAATTTATAGCATGAAAGTCAATGCTGAAATGTATAAATAAATAAATGTAAAGAAACACTTTACATATAAAACAGAGTTATAAAACTAAAAAATAAAATTAAAAATGAAAGGTTTCTTAGTTTTTATTTTATTCTATCTATTATTTGTATCCACTGAAGATGAGTCAAACTCAGACTCAAAACTTTTGCAGGTTTAATAAAGTTATTTTTTTATTAAAAAATTATGTGTATAAATATATATTTATATATATACACATTAGTTTTATCGAGCCAATATACTTTCTTGTCATTCTTTTACATTTTTATACATCAACAAAAATATTGACTCAAATCATATCGCTATAAATAATAATGCCAATCATATTCTTTCAAAAATATAATTTCAATTATACTCGTGTGCATTTATTTCAACTGTCGAGTTAAATGATTATATTGCCCTAAAATCTTCCCATATATTTTAGTACTGGTTTACTTTTTTTTTTATTAAATTCAAATACATTTTATATTTATAATATAGTAAAGACATTTTTTTTTAAATTATAACAGTTGACAAATATTTGTAATTATTATATTTGTTATATGTTTATTATAACATTAATGTTATTATTTGCATCAATAATATTTTTGATAGATGATTTGAGTCAATTTACTTTGTATACATGTACATGATTTTTATACATTTTAATTTATAAATATATTACTAATTGTGATTGTTAAATTTCTTAACTGTAAGCCTCCATTTTTCTTAAAAATCTTATTTATTTCAATTTTCTTTTACTTTATTGGACGTTTTGGTGAATGGAAAAAATCTGTATAAGATTTCACTGCTTACTTTAATGTCTCAGATTTATAATAATTAAGTAAGTGTATCAATGTATAATTAATTTTTTATTAGTTAGTATACATTTTTTATTAGTCAATAGTTCTCATATCACTGAAACATTGAATAAAAACATTTAAAAAAATATATATACATATATAAATAAAGAATTTTTAAGAAAAAAAGGGGCTTTAGCTAAGAAATTTAACAATCATATTATATATCTATAAAGTGTATATATTATATATTTTACTTTGCTTGGTTTTAATACTTTTTTATATCGAACTAGGTTTCTTCGAATTATTTTAATAATATAAATAGCATTTTCAATTGTATATAATTTTTTAAAAACGTAAGACATTTCGGTTTTTTATATTTGTTGGCGGAATGTTTTGAAAAGCTGATAGAATGATATTTTAGCAAATTCATTATAAATATATATATATATATATATATATATATATATTATATTTGTATATGGATAAAACAAAAGTAGATAGAAAAATAGTAGACGATTTCAATCAAATTTCTTTTAAAATTTTTATAGAACGTTTTCAGTTCATATAAAATTAGTCGAAACACAATAGACAACTCTAGTTGTAGGTAGATGGTGCACTTTTTAGATACAATTATTAAAATTAAGTGAAAAATAGTGTCAAAATCTGCATGCACACATTCGTTCAACACACCAATAAGTATTTAAACAAATTCATAAACACACAATCAAATAACAGATTTATTTCTGTATTATCATCTTTTTTTTTTCAATGTGTGTTTATGCATTTGTATATAAATACTAAAAACTCTAGTAAAATCCTGTGATATAATTACCCTCATCCAATAAATATTTTTAACTTTTCTAAAAAAAATTATACATAAAGTTATTGATTTCTAGACGAATACAAGTGAATAAAAGGTTTTTTCAGACGATGAAATTGGATTTTGTTGTCTGGAAAAGTCTTCTTTTTTAGATTTTACCTAAAAACTCTGGCGAAGGAACACCATTGATGTTGCATGTAATTTATATCTGTGTCAACTGCATATTAGTTATTTCGTAATATATACATACACATGTAATAAATTATATATATATATATATATATATATATATATAAATAAATTGAAATATGTGTATGTATATTATTAAAATTATATTGCATACTTAGGTCATGCCTAACTTATCTAATAAAATATTAATATAATAATATTGATTATTCTAAATATTATATTAATTTAATTGAAAATTGGTTTCAATATTAATAAATCTATACAGGTATTTATTTTTGAAAAAAATGAGAATCTCAGTGAAGACATTAGTTAAAAACTTTCACCTAAAATTAATCATTCTAATGAATAATAGTTAATATTTATAATTATATCTAAAAAATATAGTTTTTAATGCTAATTATAAATATTTATATTATATTGTACTTCTTTATAAATATTTTAAATAATTTTTAAAGAATATCTGGGTATGCAATATAAATATTCTTCATGCACAGCACTGCCTATATGAAACTATATATATATGTATATTTTCAAACATACATATATAATTATTTCTACATACATATATACATATATCTACATATGTTTATATGTATTGAAATTTATATATCAATGTATAATGCACACTTTTACCCTCCTGTATTTGCGTCCATTTTTAGCTTTTACGGCAAAATTTGAATTAAAAAATTAGTATAACTATGAAAACTAAAGATGTTTAAGATTAATTTCTTTGCACGATTTGGGTTTGAAGTGAAACTTCTTTAGAACTATCTTTGCATTTATTGTAATCCCGAAAATAGTTATAAGCATGAAATTTTGATTAATTTTTTGAAAGAATCTTTAGACTTCATTAAGTTTAATTCTAGCAAAGAGTTACATCTGTTTAGACTTTTGTAACTAGTGATGCATAGCCGTTAACACTAAATCTAATTTTCTATAATTTTCATTACAATTCAACAGAATTTTTAAAATATTTTTTACATTTTTTATATTACAAGTATTATATTGTTTAGTCTTTTTTATTTTTTTCTTATCAATATTTTATTATAAATGACTAAATAAATATCATATTATTATGTCTGCCCCGTAACTTGCCCAAAGAAGTTTCACTTCAAACTTTATAAAACTATTTTCTTGAAAAGACGACGATTTTTAGAAGACGATTCTATATGTGATTTGATTATTGTATTGAAAGCTTTTGGCTTAATGCTGCTTTTTGGCAAATTTGACGAGCACAACTAATTATCTAGTTGAACTTTATTTTAAAACATGTATTGAAAATTATATATATATATATATATATATATATATATATATATAATTTTCAATTCATGTGTGTTTAATTATGACCAGACAGACGATTGACGATGATGTTGTTTATTATTGTAAATAGATAATTTTAGTTTATAAGTTTCTATATGATAATAATTATGATTCTAATTTCTAATTATTGATGATGATGATGATAGATGATGACTCTATATACATAAATATATATAGAAATATATCTATATATGCAATTATAAATATAAATATAAATAAATATATTGTATGTAAGAAAATTCTAATGATTAGGAACAAATGAGAATAAATGTCTTTATAATACTAAAACTTTGTTAATATATTTTTAACTTCCAGAAGGAAAGATAAAATTTGATAGTGGTAGTAAATCAACCATTTTATTTATTTTTGATATTATTATATTTCAATTTTATACAAAATTCCTGATAAATTATTCATGTTATATATTATTTCGAAATATTTGTTATATTAATTAATAATTATTTTTATCCCAAAGCATGTGTAATATTATGCACACGTTGACTCTTACCCTCTTGCAGAGCCTTTTCTAAAACCTGAATCATTTTACACAAATTATTAACATCGGTTTGCATCAATATTTCCTTCTTCTTGAACAAACTCTGTTCCTCATCATTTTTGGGCTCGTTTTTCAGCCTCAAACTCTCACCCTTCGATATTTGTAAAGTCAAAGTAATCACAGGCATACACTGTTGTTTCAAGTACCTCGAAGCCACTTGGACTTCGAATCTCCAACATAAGTCTACATAGTAGTTTAAATTTGGACTTTTGAGGATGAATACTTGTTTTAAAGACTCTGCAGAGTTGTCATAGAGTTTTTTGAGAGTGTTTGATTTGGGTTCATCGAATCCTAGGGTGGTAATGCATTCTTTGAATTCATCGCTGTTTAATTTTTGTTTTGTGCATTCTAGGAAGAAGTGTAAGATCGTAGCAGTCGTGGCGAGGTCTTGGGGGTGAGTGAAATTTTCTGCAAAGAAATAACATACACATAATGTAATTATTTCGGTATATATATATATATATATGTATATATATATATATATATATATGTATATATTTGTAAAGTATGTCTTTATTACCAGATCTTTCATTGTTTAAATAATCTGAAAGCTGCGTACATAATTTTTCAAGATTTTGTTGAGGTAGTTGAGTTATTGTCATAAGACTTTGTTTACAATCATTAGTTAAAGAAAAAGCCATAATTAATGTGTTTCTAAAGTATTTTGTTTATATTTAATTATTTTAAGACATAGTCTTAATTTTGTTCCCACATGCATTAAATGGTTTAAAATAATTTCAATACTTTTCATTAACGTTTAAAACTACATTTATAATTATTTATTACATTTTTTAAATATATTTGCACATTAATTTATCGAATATTTAGAAACTATATTAATTAATTATATTAAAGTTGAATTGTTAACCTCAACTGTCAAAACATTTACTTTCAACTGTCAATCTTGAAGTTGTGTAAAATGCGCGGTAAATTCAAACAAACTTTAAATAATATGTTTATGATTTAACATGTATTAAATACTATATATAAATAATAAAAATTTTATCTCCTTACTAATAAAATTAATTGCAAAATACTTTTAAATATATTTGATGTTATATTTATTAAATATTTAGTTAATATTATTTTATTTTATTCGAAACAGAAACTTTTGCTTGCGAACAACAATTTTGACAGTTCTGCAAAATGCCGGTAAATTCAAAAACACTTTGATAACATGTGTTATTTTTATTAAAACCAACGTTATTAGTTTATTTATATAGTTTATATTTATACATATAATATAATTCAGTATTATTATTATTATACTAATAAGTACTAGGCAGTATTTTAAATTATTTTATTCTTGTATTAATTTTCAGACCCACCATTTTTTCTGGTCCGTCATGAATGTTCGGTAAGAATAAAAGGATACTGTTGGAATTCATATTTTTAAGTTAATAAAATATATATAGTGATTCTGTTTGGTGTTGTGTTAAATTTTAAATAACGCGCAATCTAAATTTATTTATATTTAAAGTAATCCACAACTGCTTGTTCTTATATTAGTGAAAATAGTGAAGTGTTTCGTATGATGCCAAAGGATGTTGCAAAAATAGAAAAATGGTGAGGATACATCTTGATTTACTTTAAATATATAATTATCTTTGCTATTGGTTATATATGACATGTTTTTTCAAGTCTTTAAATATATTATTATCTTATTAAACTACTGTTAATTTTTATTATTTTAATTATCAGTACAAGTATTGTTGCAAATTAAAGATTGATCCTAAATTATCCCATCTCTTTTAGGTAATTTTGGAGCCCTGGGACATTTTGCTATTAAGTATAGATTCTCCAGTCTATTATAATTAGATATCAAATTGAGTAATTCGTCTATGAAAGGACTCTAACAAGGATAAGGTTATGTGTTTGAACGAAGCTTTCAATGTCTACTTTTAAGGTTAAAAATATTTATATAACTTTTATTAATACTATAAATAAAACTTTATGTTATTGTATTGATGATATTTATCATATTAATCATATGGGTCTACTATATTTGTTATCAACTAACATTTTTGCTTCTGAAAACTATCAGAAACTGGTAATATAAATATTACTATTAATTAAAACTCTCGAACAATATTAATTTGCTATAAGTTAATGAAAAACTATTAATAACAAATGCCATTGAATGAATTCTCTATTAAAACTATATAATCCTATTGAAACTTAGAAAAACGTTCTTATTTTAAAGGTTTGTGTATGTAACTCTTTTCAGTTTCTTATTTACACAAAAATTAAGATAATAGTACTATTACGTATAAAAATGATACTGAAATACTATTGATGAGGTAAAGCTTAAATTCAAAACATTTACTTAAATATTTATCTTATATCAATATAGTTTTTCTACTACACCTTTCAAATCTCAAATTGTATCAATTCTTTATTCTTCAACACAGATATATAAAACACCAGAATATTTATCATATTGCAATTTTTTTATTAACAAAATCATATGTTCGGACATCTTGCATAAGTTTTCATATAAAATCATATTAAACAATATAAGTTTATGTAATGGAGCTTTTTTTATCATTCCACTTCTCTTCTTGTTTTTGGAAACAGACAAACGGCCACTAGGAATCCAAATATTGCCGAAGCTGTAATAGGAGAAAGAAATTACTAATAATTTATAAGTTAAGGAAGAAAATTTTTAGTTAATCTGTAGTAACAAATATTAAACCACTAATATAAATAATATATGGGGTAAATATATAGAACTTATACTACTACTGTGATGTCTATTGGTAAATTGTATAATAATTGGTAATAGTTTTTAATAGTGTAGTTTTTTAATACGCCTTAATAACTTAATAGCCTTTTATTAATACATATATTTAGACAATATGATCTCGTTTAAAGAAAATTCATCAATTAATTTTTTCCAAATGATTTTTTTGACCTTATCTTTTCATTTTGTTTGCAGTCCTCATATTCTAATATAATTGTAGGACATTTGGTACTAATTATGATTATTGCTACTTTTTAGCTTTCCGAAGGAGAAGTTCATGTTTTCTCCAGAAAATCCTACATGCTATAGCATACCTTTGGCTATTAAAGTATACTTTAATGTTTTTTCTTCGTTTCAAGTCATTCTGAATCACTTGAGATCAAATTGGAAAGGTGTAATATGTGAGTAGATGTGTGAGTAGACTTTTCGTTGGCATTTTCTTAAAAACGGGTATACCGATTTTAAAAATTTAAAAGCCATTCGATGGAGTTAAGGTTTGGAAAGTTTAGTTAGAAGTTTCTTTAGAATTTGCAGAAAAGTGCAAAACTTTACGTTCATGATTGAACCAAAAATTCTAATATGATTTTAAAATTCCATTTATCATCTTCAAAAGTTTATTGTAAACATCAGCATTTCACAAACAAATTTTTACAAAAAACTTTCGATTTCCACATGATAAATGGAATTTTAAAATCTGATCAGAATTTTTGGTTTAAACCTGAACGTAAAGTTTTGCACTTTTCTTAGATAAAGAAGAAAATCCCTGTTCCATCAAATCTTTCATATTTAAGATTAGTTGAAACAGGGATTTTCTTCTTTAACTAATCGGAATCTATCGGAACGTTCTTTGGTGTTTCGTAGGTATCTACTGATTGCAGTTGCTACTATTATTTTCCCTCACCTATCATGGACGGGGCGTAGGCGAACGTGGCCTCGAAGTCCCCAAGCCTGAACCTGACCGCCCTCGCCTGGCACATCTTGTCCAGGGCGTCCTCGATCCCGGTCATCGCCATTATTTCGTGCTTCTTCAACATCTTCACGACGATTATTTACATTACTTTTTTCAAAATTTAAATTTATTCTATTTTTTCACAATTTAATTAATTTAGATGACATTTTTTGATGACGCGTGTCATGTTTTGTTTTAATAGACATTTGTATGAAAATCGTATCGATAAATGATTTGTTCTGAAATTAAACATAATAATAATAAAATAATAATAAAGGACTCTACAGACGGAAATTTTCATTTTAGAGCGCGGTTGCTTAAAAAAATGTTCAGCTTTTTAAAAAAAATCACAATACAAAAAAAAACTAGTGGGGTGGGTGGCATCGTGCCTTAAGGCAAATTACTGGAACTTTCCGTACCGTAACGAAATGTTCGAGGAATATCGAATGTTTTCAAATAGATTATTATAAATATTGTAACATTGTCTAATATTTATAAGAAAAATATAAACTGAATTGCAGAGTTGAAATTATTTGTAAAGTATATTAGAACTATAGTCAGAATTAAAAATAAAATCTGAAATATTTTTGATAAATAAAATAAAAAATAAAAAAATGAAATTGGAACAATTTTTTTTTTTCCAAAATCAATTATTTTGTTAAGACAAGCAGAAAGTTCTTTGAATCATTTAAATCGGACACTTAGTTCCCTCAAAAACTGCCATTTTTTACATATTTAGCTCCGTATCTTCAAAATGGCTGGGACCGCCTTTGCCAAAAACTAATAAACACTTCTCCCAATCATTACTAATTGAATGTTTTTTAGATCATTCAAATCGAATACTCCGTTCTCTCAAAAATTCGATTTCTATTTTTTGCACTCTTTGCTCCGTATCTCCGAAACGGCTGGACCTGCCTTTGCCAAAAACTAATCAGCTCTTCTCCCTATCAATAGGAATTGAATGTTATTTGAACCATTGAAATCAGTTGATCCGTGCGCCCTAAAACGTGACTGGAAATTTGTATCCATACATGCATACACACACACATCCATTTTTTATGAGGTATGCCAAAACGTTCCGAAACCTTCAAAACGTCGAGAAATGTGAAAATTTTCAATTCCGATTTTCGGCGCATTACAATAACTTACCCTACGGGAAGTTAATAAACTATAATTTATTTATTAAGAAGAAATTCGGGATTTTATTACTATCATTAATTTTAGGCTTTCTTGACGTTTCAAGGCATTTTAAATCGTTTGAGACCAAATTTGGTATAACTATGTGTGTGTTAAATGGTGAGTAGATTTTTGAGCTTTCGTCGACGTTTTCTCAAAAAACGACTGAACCGATTTTAAAAATTTAAATATTTAAAATCCATTCGAGGACACGACTAGTTTTCTAAATTATCAGCCAACGTTTTTGCAAAAATCTTTAAACCAATTTTTAAAAAGCGTAAATTTTACTGGAAGTAACATACCTATTACGTTTCTGTTACGTTTTTGTAACCATCATAAATATAATTGTCTATTACAGAAATTATTACCTGTAAGTTTTACCTAGAAATGTGTTTAAAAAGTTATTTTTGTGCAAATTATATTTGAATATACCAGGGCAGGTAACGAGGATGCAAATATTTGCTTATTGCTCTCAACATTTTCAATATATTTCATTGTCTCGGATGACATATTTAAAGAGCTCTACAGAGCGCACCGTTTGGATTAAGGTGTTGTAAATTTTGTATGTTATACAATTTGTATAATACAAATACTAAAATTGATGTGTTTTCTCAAAAAAAAGTTAAGTTTTCGAGGTTTTTATAAAATTTTGCAGTTAACGTTTATCAATGTGCAACGCTGGATATTAGTGCACTAATATACCATGGTATATTCAAGGAGCTCTACAGGACGTACTTTTAGTAGTACATACTTTTAATTTTAATATGATATACTTCAATATGTCTATTATAATGGAAAATACTAAAATCGATGGGTTTGCTAACAAAATTTTGAGTAATCGAAGTGTTTACCAAACCTTGCACTTGACTAGAATCAATTTACTGACATACTGATGTGAGTACCATTTTGATAGAAAATAATGCTTAATTCAAGGAGCTCTACAGGACGTATTTTGAGTACTACATACTTATAGTTCTAATATGATATACTCCAATATGTCTGTTATAATAGCAAATACTAAAATCGATGGGTTTTCTAACAAAATTTTGAGTAATTGAGACTTTCATTGAACCTTGCACTTGACTAAAATCAATATACTGACACACTGATATTGGCACCATTATGCTAGAAAATAGTGCTTAATTCAAGGAGCTCTACAGGACGCACTTTTACTACTACATATTTATAATTCTTATATGATATTCTTCAATATGTCTATTAAGATGACAAATACTAAAATTAATAGGTTTTTAACAAAATTTTGAATTATAATGGCTTTTATCTAACACTGCACTGAAGATTACCAATATACCAGGATACTAATATGATGATGGCGATAAATGGTATATTCAAGGAGCTCTACAGGACGTACTTTTAGTACTACAAACTTATAACTTCAATATGATATACTCCAATATGTCTATTATAATAGCAAATACTAAATATGATGGGTTATCTAACAAAATTTTGAGTTATATCTAATTTTAAAATACTGTCGTAGAATCTACTCAATATTTGATAATGAAGTTTAAATTGTAATTAATCAAACAATATTTTATATATAAAATATATCTAATAAATTTTATTTTAATTATTAAATTACAATTACAATAAAATGGTTAAAATTTTAAATCAAAAATAATACAAATACTAATACAAACTTATAAAATATTAAAGCTGTTGCTCGACTAGTTAATAGCAGAAGTAAAAGTAGAATTAAAATAGACGTATAAGTATAGGTAAAAATAGAATTAAAAGTAGAAGTAAAATCCGTTCCTTCTAAAATCTGTGTCTAAAATTTAACGCTCCTCCATAATTAGTTCTTCCAGTTCCAAAAGCACCTCCAAAGTGTTTACTGGCGTAGGCGTCAGCGTCCAAACTTGTACGACCATTATTGGCTCTCCATAAATTGACACCAGCATTTGCACCAACCTGGATAATGAAAACACATTTAAATATTTCATATATAAATATATATTTAATACCTTCTTACATCAGTGCCGAATCCTCGAGTATGTTGAGCATTAACACCGACATGTCCTTTGCCCTCACGAGAATACTGAAGACCTCCTCCGACAGTTACTGGTCCAGTTCCGACTCCTGGTTGTCTATAAGTACGAGCCCAATTGGCATTTCCGTCCAATTTGTGTCCATTGTTGTTGTATAGAGTTCCTGCAACTTCTGCAGTCACCTGGGTAAAGGATTTAGGGACTTAGTAAATGTTTGAATGTAAAAATAACGTAACAATAACGTCACGTGTATGTTAGGATAGGACTCGGAGGTGCAAGTGCAATGTTCAATGAAAGTCTCGATTACTCAAAATTTTGTTAGAAAACCCGTCGATTTTAGTATTTGTCATCATAACAGACATATTGAAGTGTATTATATTAGAGTTACAAGTATGTAGTACTAAAAGTAGGTCTTGTAGAGCTCCTTGAATTTAGCACTATTTTCTAGCTTAATGGTACTATGTCAGTATATTCAATTTAGTCAAATGCAAGGTTCAGTAAAAGTCTCAATTACTCAAAATTTTGTTAGAAAACCCATCGATTTTAGTATTTGTGATTATAATAGATATATTGAAGTGCATTGTATTAGGATTTCAAGATCGTAGTACTAAAAGTACGTCCTGTAGAGCTTCTTGAATATACCACTATTTTCTACCATAATGGTACCATAGCTAGTATTGCAGTGCTATATCAGTATGGTGATAGACGTCAAGTGCAAAGTTCAATAAAAGTCAAAATATTTGAAACTTTTTTTAGAAACTACATCGATTTTAGTATTTGCGATTATAATAGACACTTTGAAGTGTTATATATTTAAATTGCAAAGTTGTAATGCAAACGGTGCGGCCTGCATAAATTTTTCAATTTTTGTCTGTTGTCATAATTTTGTGAATTGTTTGATAAAATTCGTTATAACTCAAAATTTTGTTAGAAACCTCATCGATTGTAATATTTTTTATCACAATAGACACTTTCAAGAATAACATACTAAATTTACTACACTTTAGCACAAATGGTGCGTTCTGTAGAACTCATTGAAAATGACACTTCTGTATTACTTTACTTTATTTCGTATGGCTGTCCGGATTTCTAGTACCCAACAGTATATATCCACATTTATTACACTAACATAACAAAAACGTCACATACACGTAACTAAATGCAAACTAGTGGGGCGCATGGCATCGTGCCTTAAGGAAAATTACTGGAATTTCCCGTACCAAAAATTATTTTTTTTAAAAAGATTAACATTTTTGAAAAAAAAATTACTCTGAAAAAATTAGATTTTTGGAAGCTATAAATTTTTGACAAAAACTTACTTTTTTTGAAGAAAAATTTATTTTGAAATATTTTGGAAATTCTGAACTTTTTTCAAAGCAATCGTACTGCTTTAACTGCGTAAAAACGAATATCGAAGCGCGTAAGCGCCGGGTCGCCGTCTAACGCGTACACATTGGTACGGAACCCTTAGAAATGTAAAAAAATTATACTTATTGTTAAAATCTCTATAAAATATCTGATAATTTGACGTGCATATGTTTAAGATCATTTTTGACCGCCAAATGGCATTTGTTTTACTTTTTTTATTAGATTTCCGAAACCGCTAGACCTGGCTTCATGAAAATTTGATCAATTCTTCATCTTGTCAATACAAGTAAAATGTTTTTTGAATTATTAAAATCGCTCCGTTCTTTTAAAAACTGAGTTACCATTTTTGGCACTTTTTGCTTCGTATCTTCGGAACTAAGACCTGTTAGACCTGCCTTCACCAAAAACTAATCAGCACGTCTTCTTATCAATACGAATCGAATGATTTTTAAATTATTCAAATCGGTTGATCGGTGTTCCCGAAATCGTCGACGAAAATTTGTATCTGCACAACCACACATACACACACGCACACACACATACATCCATTTCTTCTAAGGTATGCCAAAATATTCAGAAACCTCTAAACGTAAAGATATATAAAAATTTTCATTTTCGATTTTTTTGCGATTACTATAACTTACCCTAGGACAAGTTAAAAATCATTAATTTTTTTTATAAGTATCTATTATATTTACCCTGGTTCCTCCCAAGGCGCCAGGTTTGGCGTCCACTGATACCGACTGTCTTTTCTGCCTGGTCTGCTGAAATACTTCCACAGGTTTCCCTATGTAATCCTCCAGTGGCAGCAGGCCATATTGCTTTCCTTCTTCGTCATAGGCGATTTCCAGGAACAATGGACCAGCATCGCAGACCAGGAGGACGGCGAACAGAGCGATGATTATTTTCAACATTTTTTATAGAAGTATAAAAATATTACTGATGTTTTTTTGTTTCGATGAGCGCACTACTGGGCTGTATCGGTTTACTGAGATTTCTGATGTTTTCCGGCAGTGTTTTGGATGGTTTTATACTGAGATTTCGATTTGAAATTGTAAATCCCATTTTTAACGACTATGAGAGTGTTATCAATTTTATTGGCGACGAAATATAAACAATATTAGTCGGGTGGCTGGTGAACATAAAGAGTTATCCTAAAATTATATATTTTTATTTAATCAACAATCTCATGTCCTATTTACAAACGGTTTCCTAAAAAGAATGTTCTAATTAAGACCAACTCAATTATAATTTAACCAGGAAGACTTTTTTGACGCCCAATTTGAAAATCGACGTCGTTTATGAGGAATTGCTTAAATAATACAATTCGAGCATGGATTAGAGATAAGGACTCTAAAGAAAGCTGACAAAAGCCTCCTGGAGGTTTTTTTTTAGATATGGTGCAGAAGAAGATAAAAGGGACTTCTGGAGAATAAATGAGACAACATAAAAAAAAGTGATATTAAAAAGGGCTCTACTGGATTTGATTTGAATATAAAAGGAAACTGGCACGGATTCATATTTGAAAAAGGGGTCTTTATAATTAACCCAGAAGACTTTTTTACGCCTAATTTGGAAATGGGAATATTATAAATTAATTGAAATACTACATTTGCAGCATGGATTAGAAACTAGATTCTAAAAAAAGCTGACACAAAAGCTACCTGGATAGTTTTTTAGATATAGGAATCCTTAAAGTGAGTAAAGATGAAGGGTCTCTACTGAATTTGATTATGAAAAGGAACTGGCACGGATTCATTAGGAGAAGAGGTCTTATGATTAAACCAGAAGACTTTTTTGACGCCTAATTTGGAAATAAATTTCATTATGATCAACTCTTAAAATACTACAATTGCAGCATGAATTAGAGACATGGACTCTAAAGGAAGCTGATAAATCTACCTGGAGAGTTTTTTTTAGATATGGAGAAGATAAAATTGATCACTGGGGAATAAATGAAACAAGAGAGTAAAAGAAAAAGGGGCTTTACTGAATTTGATTATGAAAAGGACACTGGCACGGATCCATTTTCGGAAAAGAGGCCTTATAATTAAACCAGGAAGATTGTATTTCTCTATGTAAACAATGATTAGAATAAAATTCTACATTTGGAACATGCATTAGAGACATGGACTATAAAGAAGAAGCCGGCAAAAGCCTCTTTGATAGTTTTTTATAGTTATAGGTGCTAGAGAAGGAAAAAAGGACTACTGAGGAGGAAAACAGTACTCTATAATTAAACCAGGTTTTTTGACGCCCTATATTGGAAATCGATGTCACTGATAAAATACTACTTTGAAGCATGGATTAGACGTTTTTTCTTTTTTTGGACTCTAAAGAAAGCTGAAAAAAAAGCCTCTGGAGAGTTTTATTTAGATATGGTGCTGGAGAAGATAAATTGGATAGACTGAGGGATATATAAAACAATATTTAAAAAGAGTAAAATAAGAAGGGACTCTACTGAATTATTATGAAAAGGAAACTGGCGCGGATTCATATAGGAAAAGAAGTCTTTATAATTACACCAGAAGACTTTTTTTGACGCTTAATTTGGAAATCGGTGTCATTTTGAGGAACTAATAAATACTGCATTGGGGTATAGATTAAAAGAGGTGGACCCTAAAGAAATTTTTTACTGAAATTGATTATGAAAAGGAAACTAGAGCGGATCCATATTAGAAAAAAATGCTTTGTGCACAAAATCAGACTAAAATATGGCGCAGAGCAAAGTACATGATGGACAAGAAATATTTTTTTGCGAAAAGGAAACTAGATTGAATACATATTTAAAACACTGCAATAACAATTAGATATGTAAAATGGAGAAGAGAAGATAAATGAAATTACATGGTGGTAAGAAAAAAAATTTAGAAGAAACATTCATTTTGAAAAAATCTGCCCTAGTAGTAGAAATAGAAGGATGTAAGGAAGGACAAGAATGTAAGAATGATCATCTTAAATTAAATGACAAAATACAAAAAATTTAAAGCTTAAAGCACAGAATGAATGAATTCTCAGAAGTAAATTTACAAACAAGACAGAGTAAAGTAGTAAATTAAATCTGATGCTTTTCCACCATGGACCAGATAATAACAATATAATTATATTTCATCAGCTACCGCACTAATACGGATATTATTTTTTTGATAAAAATTCTGATGCATTCTCAGCCAAAGTTATTCCCTTTTACTGTATTTTATGAATACAAGATCTACTAAATATTTACTAAATATTTATTGAGTCATCAACTGCTAATTATATACATATTGAAACAAACAGTGTTAAAATTTTATAGCCTATTATGTCCATTTTATTATCAAAGGTATTTTTATGTTCTTGGAAATAGAATGAAAATTTGTTTTTGAAATAAACGTTCTTGTACAATATTTATAGACGATACATATT